TGTTTCACCCTCTTCATGGTTACAACATGTGGCACGACAGCGTTGCCACCCGGAATTGTCCCCAGCGCGCCACGAACAGAACACACTGAGTCTATTACATGTCACCGCGTACTCTTCCATCCTGTTGGCCAATTCAGGCGATGCAGACGGTCACCCCGCCACTAAATTTCGAACAACTGTTCCCTTAAAATGATTCCGAATTTCCAATCGCAAATCGGCGGGGCAAACAACCAATGTCTCCGTAACAAGAAATAGCGGTGCACACTTTGTAATGTGCACAGTGTCCACTGTACCACAAAGACATTGGATGAATTTCCACAGCTTACTATGTCATGACGCGACGCCATTTCACGACGCACACCTAGTTGCTTGCTCGGGGCGCGGAAGTTGATTCGGTGGGTGGTGGGTGGTGCGGTGTAGGGTGTGGTGCGTGCGAACGGCGGGAGGTGAAACACGCATGGGCACGCGTACGCGGTGTTGGGGTGCGAGCTGGAATTGGTGTGCGAACTTGTGACCCGCCCCGCGACCCATCCTCGACCCGCCAAGCGACCCACCAATGATCCATCTGCGACCCGCCCCGCGACCCACCCACGACAGACCCGCATTGCTTGAAAAGCTACCTTTGCGGCGGGCTCGCTGTGGGGTGCTACCAACGTTTGCCAGCGGGGACCCCGGAGAGTAAGTTATGTCACCGTGGAATTGCAAACTACATGGTGCACTGAGTGTGGTATACGCTGCAGGGTGATACGAATTATGCCAAAAGTGAGATCGTCCACCTCACTGCTTGCGAAAACATCCGATCCTCCCACCCGCCACTCGTTTGGCAAAACGAATTTGGTCCTGATCGCGATGCGTGACTGGCACAAGCCAGCGCATCTCTGCAGCCGCGCTGGCGCGCGCACGCCAGCGCGCAGAGCGACGAACTGGTTTGGCACAGCTGATGCGGCCGCGATGGCGCTTACCCATGGCAACTTCCCGGCGCTTCCCAAAGGCCGCCCTGGCGCGCGGGCGCATCAGTGCGGATCGGTGACCCAGGCGGGCGCGAGATCATGATGACGCCGACGACGGCGGCAACGATGCTGATGCTAGCGGTTGTGGTGGCCATGCTGACGATGACGACGGCAATGCCAATGACGGCGCCGATGTTGGTGACGACGATGACGACGACGATGCCCACGCGTCGGTGATATGGTGGCGATGATGGCGGAAATGGGCGCGATTGACGAAAGCGATGCCGGGGGTGATACGCTGGCGCTGGTAAGGGTGATGGGGAGGTGCGCGCGCACGCAGAAGCCCGTAAGAGTCCTGGCAGGCTCGCTGTTGAAAAACCACTGGTTCTCCATATGTGCGTGAGCAGCGCTATTTTGAAAGCGTCGGCAAACATGCGGGACATACTTTTGTCCATATCCTCTGCAGCTTGGAGATTCGGGCTCCCTTCACCAGGAACCCGAGTTACACTGGATATGGATAAATCTGCCCCTTAGAAGCTCCATGTTTATCCATCTCCAGTGCGCCTCGGCCTTGTGGCGCCCCTTCCAAGAACATCCAAGACGCACTGGATATGGATACAGTTCTTGCCCGCAAAACAAGCGCGAATGCGGCCCGCACGGTTTCGTTTGATACGGATTCGCACACTGCACATGCATAATCAGCGCAGGTGCACCGCGTGGTGAAGATGATAATGCGGGATCTGGGAGAGATTGCTAAAAGCATAGGGCTTTCCCTCGAATTAAACAGAGACGCTGCAAACGCGTTGATGATAAACAAATGGATGATTCAGATCTGCTATCTTGAACTGGTTGCAGAAACTATACGTTTGGAGAGGTTTCGGCATGTACTCGCGCGTGTGGACGTTGTGGCGCTTGTGTCCCAGGGAATATTGGGAACTGGCATTTCTAGGTTAACATGTGTGCGCACATGCTCCCTAAGCGGGGTGAGGGGTGTCGAAGCTGGTTGGGATAAGATAGTACGGTTTGAGACTGAACGATGTGGCATAGCCTTATGTAAACTCTGCGATCCCAAGGGGGGTCGATAGTCCTGGGCTCGGCGGGATGGTAGAGTCGATTCTGCTCTTGGGAGGACAACTGATGTGGTGCACTCTACGCGGTGCAATCTATGTGGTGCAATCTGTGTGGTGCAAGTTTGTGGTGCAAACTGTTTGGTGCAAACTATGGGTTCCTCGTTATATATATATATATGGTGTACGCTCTGCTGTGCAAGCTACGTGGTGCAGGCTGTGTGGTGGAGGCCGATACCTGCGACGCAAGCTGTGTGGTGCAAGAGATGCTGTGCAAGCTCCGTGGTGCAAGCCGCGTGGCACAAACTTCGCAGTGCAGGCGATGCGGCCGCCCAGCGACCGAGGCGCCCCCGGACGCGGCCCGCGGCCGGCCAGGGGCGGGCACCGGGCGACGCCCGGGAGCACTCCTTTTCTGTCGGCGGCGGGGCAGACCTGGCCGCACCGGCGCCGAGAGCTCAACAGGGGGCACCGAGAAGCGAACTGGCCAGCGTCCACGAGCGGGGCAAGGACTGACAGCGCGACGCCTGGGGGGAGGAGGAGGAGGAGGAGGAGGAGGAGGAGGGAGGAGGAGGGAGGAGGAGGAGGAGGAGGAGGAGGAGAGGAGGAGCAGGAAGAGGAGGAGGAGGGGGGAGAGGAGGAGGAGGAGGAGAGGAGGAGGAGGAGGAGGAGGAGGAGGAGGAGGAGGAGGAGGAGAGAGGAGGAGGAGGAGGAGGAGGAGGAGGGAGGAGGAGGAGGAGGAGGAGGAGGAGGAGGAGGAGGAGGAGGAGGAGGAGGAGGAGGAGGAGGAGGAGGCGCACGAGGCGCCCACGAGGCACTCACGGCGGCCCCGCGGGCGGGCACCGAGGCGACGCCTCGGCGCGCCAGCCCCCCCCCGCGGAGGAGAGGCGCCCACGGGCGGGCACGCTGGGCGGAGCCTCGGCACGCCCGCCCATGCGTGCGAGAGGCACCCGCGCCCGCCCCCAGGCGGGACAACATCGGCGCAGCCGACCCACCGCACGAGGCGCCCTCGGGGTGCCCACGGGCGGGCAGCGGGCGAAACCTCGGCACACCCAGCCACCACGCGGGGCGCCCCCGGGGCGCCCACGGGCGCCAACCATCTGCCTGCCATCGCTCGGACGTCCATTCCCTGTGTTTTTTTTCGGTTTCGTGCGTGGTTCTTTCGCCAAATGATCAAGGATGCTCCTCGATGGTCCTCGACGGAGGAAAAATGCACACGTCCGAGCGATGCCAAGTCTGTGCGCCAGCCGAACACCTGGCACGCCCAACAAAGTACCCTGAGGAAGGGGTGCAAGGACACCCGAGTGCAGGCACTGCGCGAAGAAGAGCGGCGCTTCACATGTGCTTTCGAGCCTCGCAGAGTGCCAGCGACGCCCCCACCCGCACTCTCATCCACGACTGCGGGACCATGGTAGTAGCTCCCGCCACCTCCTCCTCCTCCCTCCGTCCTCTCGCCCAGGCTCCCTGCACCTCTTCTGCCACCCCTCTCCCCTCCTCCTCCTCCTCCTCCTCCTCCTCCTCCTCCTCCTCCTCCTCCTCCTTCCTCCTCCTCCTCCTCTTCCAACTCCTCCTCCTCCTCCTTTTTCTGCCTCTCCCCACCTTTTGCTCTAAACGACTCGCCCCTCCCGTACCAGTACAGAGCTTTCCCACGCAGTGCTACGAGAGTCACCCCGGGGGGGGGGGGGGGCGGGTCGACACCACCACCACGACCGACGAGGACCCCTCAGGACACCCCAAGACCCCAAGACCCTCCAGGAGCGCCCAAACTCGCTCAGAGACCTCCTCGACGTGCCCTCGCTCGGACGTCCATCCCCATGTGCACTGCTCGGTGTCGTGCGCTCCTTGCTCGCACGATGACCCAAGCTGCTCCTCGATGGCCACTCGCCGAGAGGAAAACGCACTCGCCCGAACGACGCCAAACCGACCCTCGATCCTCCAGCCTTGCTCCTCATCTGGCACTGCCTGGCCGCGTGCTGCCCTTGCCGCCTCGCCGCTCGGGCGCGGCCCGGGGGGGCTTCTCGGCGCGGCCGTGCTGCGTGGCGTAGCACTCGTCGATGTCCTCGCGACGGGCCGGAGGTCTGCCCATCCGCAGCCCGCTGCTCCCAAAGCTGGCGGCCCTCTGGCCGATCGCTCCCCGACGCGGCTCTGGCCCGTGCTGCGCGAGGTGTGCCCTCGGCCCTCGAAGACCGAGCGGGGCGCTCTTTGGAAGCTGCTGTGCGGTCTGAGACGCGCCTGGCCGGACTCTGGAGGCCGCCCAGTCGGGCGACGAAAGGAAAAGCGTCTCACGTGAGATGGCACAGCAACGTTACGCCGCGGCTGACGCGGGCCGCCAGCGCGGCACGCTGCAGTGGAAACGAAGGCGCTTATTCGCCATCTCACGCAAACAATTACGCGCGAATGTCAGCGCAATGAGACCTGTGTTTTCTGCGTCGTTCTGTTGGGATGATGCGGGCGATGGATCGCCCTCCATCGATGATTCATCGGCGATGCCGCCACGGAGAGACTCGTGTTCGAAATCGCTATTCCGAGCGCATTCGGCCAGCGGTTGCAGCCGCTGCAGGCTCCCTCGGCATTCCGAAACTCCGCACATGTTTTGGGAGCTGGCGCCGGCGACCTGCATGCCCCACGGGCGGCGGTGTCGGAGCCGCCGAGGTTGGGAATCTGGGGCGTGTCCTCCGCTGGTTAGCCAGCGACTCACCGAGCCCTGTAGCCTGCCGCGGGCAGGACATTGTAGGGCGGTCGCTGGACGCCTGTCGGGATGTGTTTAGCTCTGCTTCCCCCGCCGCCCGCAGCTCCCGTGGCCACTCCTCGTCTGTCACATGTGCACGTTTGGAGTTCGGAGGAGAGACCGACGAGAGGGAGGCGGAGGGTGGCTCCGCGAGAGGTCAGGATGCTGCCTGGGGTCGGGCTGGCCTGTGTCTGCGGAAACTCTCGCAGGCGACCGGCAGCACAGAGGAGAGGAGATCGAGAGCCGATCAGGACGCAAGGGATCGAGAGCCAATCAGGACGCAGGGGGAAAGGGGGGCAGCAGGCGTGGGCGGAGGGGGAAGACACGGGAAGGAGACACCGGGAGGCGGGGAAGCCCCGCGCGCGCCGCCGCGCCTCTTCCTGACACGGGTCTCGAGGGCCGTCGGGGCGCGTCGGCACGCCCTACCACGTGCCACGCGGGCGCGGCAGATGCGTCACTTCGTGCCGCCTCCCACAGCTTCTGCTCCTCGGGGGGCTCGGCCAACAGCTCGGGCGCACGCTTCTTCAGCTGCTCCGCCTCCGCCTCCGCGGCCGAGCATCTCTAGAACCCGCTCTAGCGACTCGCCGCCTGAGAGAGATGACGCCAGAGAGATGACGTCGGGCTTTAGTTTCGCCTCCCACGTCTCGCTCAGCAGCGCAACAACAACGGGCGGCCAGTATGCGACCTTTCAGCCTGGGCTGGTCCCAGAGTTGTAGCCGATGACATTGGCCTCCAGCCTCGTCTCCCGCGTCTCGTTGAGCAGCACCAGGACCCGCTGCCACTACCCGCCCTTCTCGTACGCGCGCTGTAGTTGGTGACGCTGGGCTCAAAGCAGCGACATCGCCCAATGCCGCTTGCATTGTTCGCACGTGCTGACTCCAGCATTGTAGCTGATGATGCTGGGCTCCGGAGTCGCCTTCTACATCTCGCTGGGCAGCGTCTTGGCCCGCTGCCCCTATTCGCCTTTTCCGCACGCGCCAATGCCAGCGCTGTAGCTGAGGACGTTCGGCTTCAACTTCGCCTTCCTCATCTCCCTGAGCAACGCCCGAGCCCTAATGCCAGAGCTGTAGTTGACGACGGCGGGCTCCAATTTCGCCTTCCACGTCTCCCTGAGCGCTGCCGCTGGTCGCCCTTCCCACCCGCGCTGATCCCACCGCTGTAGCTAATGACGTCGGGCATCAGTTTTGCCTCCCACGCCGCGCAGAGCAGCGACAAGGCCTGCTGCGGCTGCTTGCCCTCCTCGCACCTGCCGATCCCGTCGCGGTAATTTGCCGGCCTAACGGACCAGAGGCGTGTTAAAATCTCTGGAAAGAGTTCAGAACATTTCTAGTTTGCGCGCGCGTGGCGGCCCCTGGGGGTACCCGGACGAAAAGAATCCCGGCAAAGTCCCGCCAAGTCCTGGCAGGTTCCGGGCAGGTTCTCGGCAGGGTCGGGTCAGATATGCTGGAACTCCTGGGCGCGGCCTCGGGGGACCCCGGTTTGCCGCACTGAGGCGCAAAATAGATGGCAGGCCCCACGGCCTCAGGCCAAGAGCGTTCCAAGATGGCCCACGTTGGTCCCAAGACGGCCCAAGACGCTCCAGGAGGGACCCAAGAGGACTTCGACGGGCCCCGAAAACGCAAAAATCCGCCGATCCGGCGTGTGAGTTTCAAGGAGTCTCAGCTACGGCCTCGAGGCTGAGCCTCAGCCTCTGGGGGTGTTGCCGGGGTGGCTCTGCCGGGGAAGGGGGGATGGGGGGGGGGGTGCGAGTTTCCGGCGGATCCCGGGGGGCTGCTTTTACAGAAGGCTCTAATCTCGAGGATGCGCTAAAAGGGTGGCCGCGGCCGCAAAAGTCTTTTGAGGACGGTCTAAGAAAGTCCCGAGACCCCGAAAGATCGCCCGAACACGCCCAAGATGGCCCCAAGACGGCCCAAGAGCCTTCCAAGACGTCTGAAGAGGCCTCCAAGAGGCCTCCCACGAGGGCCCCCAGAGGCAAAAATCGTTGATTTCCATTGTTTTTTCATGTTTTTGGGGTTGTCGCTTTTTTCGGCTTTCCGACGCTCCAAGACGGCCCAAGAGGCCCCCAAGACCGCTCGAAGACGGCCCAGGAGGCCCCCAGACAGTCCCAAGACGGCCCAAGGGGGCCCCAAGGCGGCCCAAAAGCCGCCCAAGACAGCCCAAGAGGCCCCCAAGACGGCCCAAACAGGACCCAAAAGAGGGGCGAAAAGCGGAACAAATCTAGCCTTCCAGCCCACGAGGCCCCCAGGAGGCCCCAAGAGCCCCAAGAGGGCCCCCAAAAGCCCCCAAGAAGCCCCCTCGACGCCCTGACAGGCTCCTGTGCGAGTGTCTGTGTGTGGTGCGTGTCTGCGAATGTCTGTGCGTGCTAGTGTCTGGCGTGCGCCTAGTGTGTCTCTGTATGTTTGTCTGCCGTATGTGCATTTGGTCGTGTGCGTGCGTGAGGTGTCCGCGTAATATGTGTATCCGAGCGACCCGGATCGGCGGCACTGGCCGAAGGCCACTACAATCAAGGATTTTGCAAAAAATTGTCTGACGATCCGACGATTTTGGCGGTACCGCTTTTTCGAGCTGCCGACCGCCCTGAACGACTCAAGAGGTCCCAAGCTCGCTCCAAGACGGTCCGTAAAGCCTCCAAGAGGGCCCCCAAATGGCCCAAGATGGCCCTAAGACAGCCCACGAGGCATCCAAGACGGCCCCAGGATGGCCCCAAGAGGGGGCCCAGAAGGGGAACGCGAACGGATATTTCGAGCTCTCTACCCCAAGAGACGCCCAATAAGCCCCTGGAGGCCCCCAAGAGCCCCTCATGAGGCCCCAACAGGCCCTCAAGCGGCCCCAAAAGAGGCCCCCAAGACCCCCAACAGGACCCTAGGAAGCCCCAAGGGGTCTCCAAGGAGCCCCCAAGGCTCCCAAGAAACCTCAAAACTACTCCCCAGAGGTTCCCCAGAGCCCTCCAAAGAGACGCCATGAAGCATCCATGAGGACTCGGACCCACAACCCAGGTACGTCTCGAAACTCTGCTGGAGCTCTCTTGAACCATTTTGGCGCCCCCTGGGGTAGTCTATCGCTCTCTTCGACAAGGTGGAAGCCACATCTCCAAAGATCTCCTCGAGGATAGTTTTTCCTGCCCTACAGTTCCCCCTGAGCACGACCACACCACCACGCAGCCAGTGATGCGAAACGGGCTGGCGGAATAAGCGGAGCGATTAATAAAGATGACAGTGTGCTCCAACCTTAATTCGGGCATCAGGCCGAGCAGCACCTAACTACGCTGCCACTGATCGCCCCTGTCCTACGCCCTGACACAAGCGCTGAAACTGATGACGTTGGGCCTCCCACATCTCCCTGAGCAGCAACAGGGCCTGCTGCCATTGATTGCCCTTCTCGCACGCGCTGACTCCAGCGCTGCAATTGGCGACGGCATTGCGCTCCAGCGCCGCCTCCCGCATCTCGTTGAACATCGCCAGCGCAGGCTGCCACTGCTCGCCCTTTCTTGCACTCGCTGATCCCAGCGCTCCAGTTCTGATTACGTCCGAATACCTACACCGCCTCCCACATCTTCTCGCTCAACACCCCAGCGTTGCAAATGCCCAACCTGTCGTACCGTCTGCCCGCAGCAGAACGCCGACCACAGGGCTGTAGATGGCCGCGTTGCAGCGTCTCCTCCAACATTTCGCGCAGCAGCGCCGGGGCCCGCTGCCACTGCTCGCCCTTTCTTGCACTCGCTGGTCCCAGCGCTACAGTTCTGATTACGTCCAGATCCCAACACCGCCTCTCACATCTCGTTGAACAGCGCCAGAGCCCGCTGCCACTGCCCACCTTTCACTCACGCGCTGTTCCCCAGCGCTGTAGCTGACGGGCATGTCGCACCGTCTTTCCGCAACAGGGCGACGATCGCAGCGCTGTGCGCTGGAGCTGATGACGTGTTCCAACTTCGCCTCCCACATCTCGCTCAGCAGCGCCAGGGCCAGCTGCCACTGCTCGCCCTCCGCGCACGCGCTGATCCCAGCGCTGTAGCTGTACCTGTGGTGTGATCACCGCCATCGACGTTGAGGGGGGCAGTGCTTGTAGGGCGCGCCCCCACGAGCAAGTGGCGTCACTCCACCGGCTTTTGGGCTCTCTTGGAATACACTTGAAGCCGCTCTGAAAGCTGTTCTGGGGCCTCTTGAGGCCTGCTTGGACCTACCCTGAGGCTTCAGGCGGGTCTTAGGCGGCGTCTTGGAGCGCTCCGAGAGGGCCCCAAGTGGGCCCAGAGAGAATCCCAAAGCGAGCGGAGTGACGCCACTTTCTTGTGGTCCATCTTGGAGTCCTTTTGGAGCTCTCTGGGGGTCTCCCCTTGAAGCCTCTCGGGGCCCTCTCGGAGCTAGTCTGGGACTACTGGCAGAAGGCAGGCGAGCTCCTGGGAGGCTCCAACAACAGGGCCCCAAGTGCACCCCAAGAGAGCCACAGGAAGTGGCGTCACTCCACTTGCTTTTGGGCTCTCTCGGGATGGACTTCAAGCCGTCTTCAAAGCCTTCTTGTGGTCTCGTGGGGCCCGCTCCTGCCTACCCTGTGGCATCAGGCGGGACTGAGACGGCCTCCGGGGGCCCTCGGAGAGCGCCCCAAGTGGGCCGGGAGAGAATCCACAAGCAAGTGGCGTCACTCCACTTGCTTTGGGGCTCTCTTGGAATCCACTTGAAGCCGCTCTGAACGCCCTTCTGGGGCCTCTTGGGGCCTGCTTGGGCTTACCCTGGGGATTCAAGCGGGTCTTAGGCGGCGCCTTGGAGTGCTCCGAGAGGGCCCCAACTGGGCCCGAAAGGAATCCAAAAGCAAGTGGAGTGACGCCACTTGCTTCTGGGCTATATCTTGGAGTCCTTTTGGAGCTCTCTGGGGGTCTCCCCTCGAAGCCTCTCGGGGCCCTCTCGGAGCTACCCTGGGGCTACAAGGAGAAGTCAGGCGGGCCCATCTTCGGGCTCTCTTGGGCTGTCTTGGGGCCCTCTGGGGCCGTCTTGGGGCCCTGCGAGGCCAGCTCGGAACCTTCTGGGGCTGGCCTTGGCGGGGACCTCTGGGATTCTTGATTGGCCTCTCTGGGACTTCCCTGGAGGCCTTCCAGGACCGTCTTGGGGCCGTCTTGGAACCTTCTTGGGGCTCTCTTGGGTCATCCTGGGGCGCTCTTGGGAGCCTCTGATGCCACCTTGGCACGATCCTTGAACCCTTGAGGTCGTCTTGGGCGGCTGCAGCTGGTAAAGGTGAGAACGCGAAATGCATAAAAACACAGAACATCAACGAATGCGGCCTCGGGAAGCGCTCCCTGGGAGTCTCTTGGGGCGCTCCTGGGGCGTTCTGGGCGCCTCTTGGGCTGCCTGGGGGCCGCGTTCGGCAGTCTGGCGCCGCCTCCTGCAGGCTGCCGCGGCGGCTCCGAGAACCCGCCCGGCGAGCGGCCCGGGCCCCGGGGGTCCCCAGGGGGCCCTCCGGACTGGCCCAGAGGGGACTGGCTCGCTGCCACCGCTCGCTCTTTTCGCGCGCGCTGTCCGCGGTGGCATTCGTTGGAAGACGTATTCCAAACACACACTTACAGATCGCCGTTTCATTCAAGACACATATTTTCTCGTCAATTTCAGCGTCCGTCACAGGAATATCGGTATGTTGTCAGGTGTATGTCTCTCGCGCGTGAGATATTGACAGGGCTCACCCGCGGCCTTCCAGCCGCGGAATCTGCCCGTCATGGCGTGGACTCCGCACCGGGGCCGCTCCGGCGCCCGGTGCACGGGAGGACTACCGATAGGACGCTGGAGTAACTGTCCATTGGGGCCGCCTGCTCGGGGTGTCTGGACACTCTTGGGGCCTTCTTCGGGGCATGCTCTGGACATCTCTGTGGTGCCTTTCGGCTTGTGTGCCATTTTGGGCGCCCTCCTCGTCCTCCCCTGGGTCCTTCATCCTGTCGATCGTCGTTCGGAGCCGTCTCGGTATGTCTGGACCCTCTTGGGGCCTCCTTGGGGTCATGCTCGGGACATCTCGGTGGGTCCTGTCGGCTTTTGAGGCCATTTTGGGTGTCTTCCTTCTCCTCCTCCTCCTCCTCCTCCTCCTCCTCCTCCTCCTCCTCCTCCTCCTCCTCCTCCTCCTCCTCCTCCCCTGGATCCTTCATCCCGTCGATCTTCGATCGTCAGTCGTGGACGCTCCCCAAGAGAAAAGCATCCACGGCATCTTCGGGGCCGTGTGGGGCCTCTTTTCGTCCTGCTGGGGGTCTCTCGAGGCCCTCTTGGGCCGTCTGGAGTGCCTCTTGGTCCGTCTTAGGGGCGATCTGGGGCCGTCTGGGGCGCATCTCGAGCCATCTTGGGGCCGTCTTGGGGCCATCTTGGGATGTATTCGGCGCTCTTGGGGCTGCCTTGGGTGCCTATTGGGCCGTCTCGGGCGCCTCTGGAGCCGTCCCTGGGCCGTCTGGGGCCGTTTGGGGGCCTCCAGGGCGTCTGGGGGCGTCTTGGGGCGATCTGGAAAGCTGAACATTTCCCGACGGGAGCGGAACAATGTTTGCTGCCTCTTGGGGCGGTGCTGGGGGTCCTCCTGGGCCGTCTCGGGAGCCTCCTGGCCTGCCTTGGAAACCTCTGGGGCCATCCTGTGGCTCGTTTGGGGTCCTCTGGGGGCGTCCGGGCGCCTTCTGGAGCGTCTCTGAACCGTCTTGGGGCCATCCTGGGCCGTTCTTGGGCGCTCTTGGGGCTGTCTTGGGTGCCTCTTGGGCCGTTTCGGGCGCCTCTGGAACCGCCCCTGGGCCGTCTGGGGCTGTTTTGGGGCCCTCCTGGGGGCGTCTGGGGGCGACTTGGGGCGATCTTGGGGGCCTGTAAAGCCGTCTTGGAGAACGAAAACAACGAAAGAGGGACACGTATACGTTTCCCATCGAGAATGAAACGATTTTTGCCTCTGCGAACTCTCCTCGGGGTCCTCCTGGGCCATCTAGAGGGCCTCCTGGCCTGCCTTGGAGGCATCTGGGGCCATCCTGGGGCTCGCTTGGGATCCTCTTGGGACGTCCGGGCGTCCTCTTGAGAGTCTCTGAGCCGTCTTTGGACCGTTCTTGGGTACTCTTGGGGCTGTCTTAGGTGCCTCTGCGGCCGTCTCGGGCGCCTTTGGAGCCGTCCTGGGGTCGTCTCGGGCCGTTTTGGAGCCCTCCTGGGGGCGTCTTGGGGCGATCTTGGGGGCCAGTAAAGCCGTCTTGGAGACTGCGCAGACGAAAAGAAAGGACATGGACAAAACATGCATGTCCCATCGGGGATGGGACGATTTCGGCCTCTTCGAGCTCTCTCTCATCGGGGTCCTCGGCCTCCTGGCCTGCCTTGGAAGCCTCTGAAGCGATCCTGGGGCTCGCTTGTGGTCCTCTTGGAGCGTCCAGGCGCCCTCTGGAGCGTCTCTGAGCCGCCTTGGGGCAGTCTTGGGGCATCTTGGGACCCCCCGGAGCCGTCTCGGAGCGCCCAGGGGACTCGCAAGGCGCCCTGGAGGGCCCAGGGAGCCTTTCGGGACAGAAACCTTCTCGCAAGCAAAGGTTGCTGCAGTGTAGAAGAGACGACGTCGGGTTCCAGCTTCGCCACCCACATCTCGCTCAGAAGCGCCAGCGCACGCTACCACTGCTCGCCCCTCTCGCACGCGCTGATCCCAGCGCTGTAGCTGATGACGTCAAGCTCCAGCTTCGCGTCCCACATCTCGCTCAGCAGCGACAGGGCCCGCTGCCACTGCTCGCCCTTCTCGCACGCGCTGATCCCAGCGCAGTAGCTGACTAGTGCGAACCCGTGGACTTCGTCCACGTCATCTTGGGCCCCGTCTTGGGCCTGTCTTCGCTCGAAATGGCGAGAAGGTGGAAATCTTTCAGACACCATCGAAGAATCAATGATTTCGTGTGCCGCGGTTCGTCTGGAGCGTCTTCGAGCGATCGTGGGCCGCTTCGGAAGCCTTCTTGGACCGCGCTCCTGGGGGCCTGTTGAGGCCTCGTTGGCTGTCTTGCGGCCTCCTATGGGCCTCTTGGGGCCCTCTTGGGCCGTCTTGCGGCCTCCTGGGGGCCTTTTCCCTTGAAGTTTTTGTTGGGCGCCTCTGGGGCCGTTCCCGGGCTGTCCCCCCGAGCCTTTTCCAGGGGACAGCCCGGGAATTCTGTTGTGCTTGCGTGCTGTGCGTGCGTGCTCCTGTGTGAGAGGTCGGAAGGGTGTCCCGACGTCACCGCTCGCTCTTGGGAGTTGTGCCTGGGAGAGCTCTCTACGCTGCGTATCGCTCTTGGGAGCCTTGGTGAGACAAGCTTTGTACTTCACCGATCGCTCTTTTAGTGGGCGTCTCTGGGCCTGCTTGGTGGTCCTTGTGAGGGTCTTTGTCGGGCCATTCTGAAGCTTTTTGGGGCTGCTCTGGGAGCGTTTCGGGACGTGTTGGGACCTTTTTGGGCCCTCCGGGAGGCCTTGGACCGTCTTGGAGCTCTCTTAAGGCTGCCTGAGGCCGTCTTGGGAGCCTCTTGGGGCCCCCTCGGAGCTCTCTTGGGGCCGTCTTGGGGTTCTGTGAGGCCGTTTCAAGGCTCTCTGGCGTCGTCTTGGGGCTCTTGTGGGCCGTCTTGGAGCTCTCTTAGGGGCCGCTGGCGTCTTCTTGGGGCGATTTGGGAGGCCTCTTGGCGTGTCCTGGTCCGCTGAGGAGCACACAAGGCGGGCGCTGAAAATATACGTTTCCCCATCGGAATTTGATGATTTGCGCCTCTTTGGCGTGCGCTCGGGGCCCTCTTGGGGCGTCTTTGCGGCCTCTTGGATCGTCGTGGAGCCCCCGGAAGGCTTCGGGCCCTCGTGGGCCGTCTCGGGACCCACTGAGGCCGTCTTGGAGCGCTCTTGAACGGTCTGGGAACCCTTCTGGATCGCCTCTGGAACCAGCCTGAGCGATTCGGCCCCGTGGTGGCGCCATAAAGGGACGATTTCGTGCATTCTGAAATTTGTTTGGGCTGCTCTAGGAGAGCTTTGGGACGTTTTGTTTAGGCCGTCACGGGGCGTCTGGGAGGCCTTGGACCGTCTTGGAGCTCTCTTGAGGCTGCCTGAGGCCGTCTTGGGAGCCTCTTGGGGCCCCCTCGGAGCTCTCTTGGGGCCGTCTTGGGGTTCTGTAAGGCCGTTTCAGGGCTCTCTGGCGTCGTCTTGGGGCTCTTGTGGGCCGTCTTGGAGCCCTCTTAGGGGCCGCTGGCGTCTTCTCGAGACGATTTGGGATGCCTCTTGGCGTGTCCTGGTCCGCTGAGGAGCACACAAGGCGGGCGCTGAAAACGTACGTTTTCCCGTCGGAATTTGGCGATTTGCGCCTCTTTGGCGTGCGCTCGGGGCCCTCTTGGGGCGTCTTTGCGGCCTCTTGGATCGTCGTGGAGCCCCCCCGGAAGGCTTCGGGCCCTCGTGTGCCGTCTCGGGACCCACTGAGGCCGTCTTGGAGCGCTCTTGGACGGTCTGGGAACCCTTCTGGATCGCCTCTGGGACCGGCCTGAGCGATTCGGCCCCGTGGTGGCACACGAAGCAATTTTGTGCACACGAGGCCCTGTGAACCCTTCCCGCGCGCAGATTCACTGGCCATGTAGGAAAGATGACGTTGGTCTCCAGCTTCGCCTCCCGCATCTCGCTCAGCAGCGCCAGGGCCCGCTGCCACTGCTCGCCCTTCTCGCACGCGCTGATCCCAGCGCAGTAGCTGAAGACGTTGGGTTCCAGCTTCGCCTCCCGCATCGCGCTCAGCAGCGCCAAGGCCCGCTGCCACTGCTCGCCCTTCTCGCACGCGCTGACGCCAGCGCTGTAGCTGACAAGAGCTAACCCGTGGACTTACGTCCACGACAGCTTGTAGTGGTATAGTCAGGGGCTGCCTGACTTCTGAGCCCTAGGAGGCGCATCGGACCCCCTAGGGAAATGGTAAATTGCTCAGGGCGGACGCTATTGTCGCCCTCAGAGCGCACTGATTACCTGGAGCGCGAAACTACACAGGGCAGGCCAGGTGAGACGTATTGTCCCCTACCGGCACAATGATGCTACATAGGAAGTGTAGTTCACAAGAGTAAAATTGTGCAACCATTTGCTCCTTTTGTGAAATGTTCACAAGGCCTGTTGGAGCCGCCGCGGCCTATGCTTCACAAGAGCGCACCTTGTGAAATGTTGCCTAGCCACGCCGCAGAGAGAAAGGAGACAAAGATGGTCCCCGCCTCAAGACAAAATGTCAACGAGGACTATACAAAGAGTCAGCTGTAAAGACGAAAAAGGTGATCCCTAACTGCACAAGGAAGTTCGAAAGGCATGCAAGTCAGTAGACGAGCGTGTTGACGTCGATTTGCGCATCACGAATTCGTTGCCGATGACGCCGCCGGAGAACATAACACTACAGAGCAAACCAGAGCAGCGCAAGCCTGGGACACGATCCACAGACCAGGGTTTCTCAGTGATGATGAGCATGATCAGAGACTGCCTGACCTCGAAATAAAACAACGACTAGCTCGAAGAGCTCGCCCAGCGATGTATATCAACCGGGCCACTTACGCTTCCAGAGGCACCACAATCGTCCAGATGATCAGCGCGATCATTAAGAGATTGCCCAGTGTGGCTCTCGACCTTCCTGCAGACAACATAGCAAGCAACCTGATCAAAGATGTGGCAGAAGCTGAGATCGCTTGCCTGCTTGCCTGCTGTTTTGCGCGCGTAGCTGGTAGCCAGACAATTGTCTTCCCGAGACTGACTCTCGGCCGCACGCCACGGCAGCGGGGATGGCCGCCAGCCGGCCGCGGGCAATGCAGCGGCTGCTTGTTTTCTGCTGCGAGCTACTCATTGCTGCCGCTGCTGTCTTGTGTGCTGCCGGATCTGGAGGCCGTGCTTGGGGTCCCTATGGCCGAAACAATTAGGGGGCCTCGTTGGGCCCTCTTGGGGCCGTCCTGGGCCGTCTCGGGGTTCTCTGGGGGTCTGTTGGGCCGTCGTGGCGCTCTCTGGAGGGCGTGTCGGGCCGTCTGGAAGCTCTCCGAAGCCTTCTGTAATATTCTGGGAGCCCCCTGGGGCTGCCCTTGGGCTCTCTTGAGGCAGTCAAAGGCCGCACAGAGGGCCCTAAGACGGCCCGAGACGGCCCAAGGAGGCCCCGAAAACAACCCAGGAGGCTCGATTGGGGGCTCCCAGAGGGCACAAGGTGGCCCGCAAGGAGCGAAAGAGTCTCCCTCGAAGCCGTCTTGGAGCTGCCTCGCGTCGAAAAGCCTGCGAAGCAAAAGACAATACATTTTCCTTTGGGTGTTGGGAAACTGTACAGTTGCCGCGGTCGTCTGGACAATTCCTGCAAGGCCTCTTGGGGCGTCTAGGGGCCTTTTGGAAGCCTCTTGGAACCGTTTGAGATCTCTCGGGGGCCCTGTCTGGCGGCTGTCGGGGCCAATTCTGGCCATCTCGGACATTACCGAAGGCTGTCTCTGCGACGTCCTGGGGACCCAGAGCCCACAGGGTCCCGGAGGCAGTGCCGACGCCGCTGGAGGCCGAGAAAGCGATTGGCCCACACACTTGTCCCAGAATTGAGGGGATGATCATAGTTTCGGGCTCCAGTTTCAGAGTTTATGACGTTGCGGCTCGCTCTCGGGAGCCTCGGGTTGAAGAGCTTACTGTGTTACCGTTCGCTCTTGGGAGCCTTGGATTAAAATGATTTTTGCTGTACGGATCGCTATTTTATTTGGCGTTCGTGCGCCTTCTCAGTGGTCCTTGTGGGGGACTTTCTGCTGCCCTTCAAGGGCCCTTGTGAGCCGTTCTGCGGCCGTTTTGGGACGTCTTGGGGTCGGTTTGGGCCGTCACGGGAAGTCTTGGAGGCCTTGGACCGTCTTGGGGCTCTCTGGAGGGCTTCCTGGGGCCTTCTTGGGAGCCTCGTCGGTCCCTCTTGGAGCCCTCTTGGAGCCGTCTTTGGGCCCTCTTGGACCGTCTTGGGGTGGGGGCCGCTTGGGTCGTCTTGGGTGGTTTTGGGAGGCCTCTTGGTCTGTCCTGAACCGTGTGACAACGCAAAAGGCGGATATGCTGAAAACGTACGTTTCTCATCGGAATATGACAAGGCTTGCCTCTTCGGCGTCCTCTTGGAGCGTCTTTGGGGCCTCTTGGACCGTGTTGGAACCACCTTCTGAGGTCTTTGGGGCGTCTTGGAGGCCTTGGACCGTCTTGGGGCTCTCTGGAGGGCTTCCTGGGGCCCTCTTGGGAACCTCGTCGGGCCCTCTTGGAGCCCTTTTGGGGCAGTCTTGAGGCCCTCTCAGGCCGTTTGAGAGCCCCCTTGGGTCGTCTTTGGGCCCTCTTGCACTGTCTTGGGGCTCTCTTGGGGGCCGCTTGGGTCGTCTTGGGGGGTTTGGGGGGGCCTCTTGGTCTGTCCTGGACCGTGTGACAACGCCAAAAGCGGATATGCTGAAAATGCACGTTTTCGCAAGATTATGACCTCTTTGGCGTCCTCTCGGGGCCCTCTCGGAACGTCTTCAGGACCTCTTGGACGGTCTTGCAACCACCTTCGGAGGTCGTTGGAGCGTCAAGGCCCGTCTCGGCAGCAACTGAGGCCGTCGTGGAGGGCTCGCGGACCGTCTTGCAGCCGCTCTTGGGCCCTTGTTGGGCCGGCATGGGCGGAACGACCACGTGGTGAGGCCGTGAGGCAAATTTATGCACATGAGTCCCCGCGGGTTTGGCACGCGCCTCCTCCCGCCATGCAGGAGAGATGACGTCGGGCTCCAGCCTCACCTCCCGCATCTCGCTCAGCAGCGCCAGCGCCCGCTGCCACTGCTCGCCCTTCTCGCAGGCGCTGATCCCAGCGCTGCAGCTGACTAGTGTGCACCCGTGCTTTACCAGCCTGGAACATATCCCTATCCCTATGCTGGGCACCTCATCATCACGATGCCCATCTTAGGGATTCCCTTATTTTTTGAGGGCGAATCCCTAAGATTGTCGTCGCCTTTTGGCGTGTCAATCTAGGGATAGGGGTACGTTCGAGGCTGGTCAGTGCTTGCTGACCCGTGGGCTCCGTCCACGACATGCTGCCACGAATTGGCACATGATTTGCGCTCGCCTCCCACATCTCGCTGGGCACTTCCGCCAGGCAGCACTTCCGCCCGTCTCGCCTGGCCCGCGGGCGCGAGGGGGGACAGTCGACGGCACGGTGAACAGAAAACGCGGAGGAGGAAGAGGCGGCGGAGGAGGAGGAGGAGGAGGACAAGAAGGACGAGGAGAAGGAGGAGGAAGAGGAGGAGGAGGAGGAGGAGGAGGAGGAGGAGGAGGAGTGGCTTTCTTGGGGCCTCCTTCAGGGCCCCAGAGGGGCCAATGATCGGCCCCAGAGCGGCCCACGTGAGCCTCACGATGGCTCCAAGGGAGAGCCCAGGAGTACTGCACGACCATGCCATCATACTCTTTGGCCGCTCTTGGGGTCTTCTTGGAGCCCTCTTGGCGCACTCTTGGAGCCTCCTTCAGGGCTTCAGGGTCGCCAATGAGCGGCCCCAGAACGGCCCACGTGAGCCTCAGGAGGGCTCCAAGGAGGGCCCCAGGAGTACTGCACGGCCGTGCCGCTCTTGGTGTCTTCTTGGAGCCCTCTTGGGTCGCTCTTGGGGCCTTCAGGGTCCCAGAGGGGCCAATGTGCGGCCCCAGAGCGGCCCAAGTGAGCCTCAGGAGGGCTCCAAGGGGGCCCAGGAGCTCGGCACGACCATGTCATACTCTGGGGCCGCTCTTGGGGCCCGCGAGAGGTCCTGCAGGGGCTCACCTCAGGGCCTGTGTGGCCGTCTTGGACGCTGCGAAGACGAAAAGCACGGGAGCTCCCGAAGTGCACGTTGTGCCCAGGGGCGGAGACGATTTTTCCTTGTTCGGGCTCTCCTGGGCTCTCTCTGAAGCCCGCTGGGAGCATTGTGCGGGCCTCTTCGGCCGTCGGGCGGCTGTCTTGGGCGTCATCGAGCGCTCGGGGCCTGTCTCGGAGACCCTCTTGGACCGTCTTCGGCCGTCTTCGGGCCCTCTTGGGGGCCTCCGGGGGGGGCTCGGAGCGATCTGAAGCCATCCTGGAAGCGCGCCGGGGCCCCTGGGGCCCCTCGGAAGCGCTCCCAGCCTGTCCTGGCCCCCGCTTGGGGTAAACGCCTGAGGAGCCGTCCTGGCGGTGTTGAGCCGTCTTGGGGCCCTGCTGGCAGCCTCCCGAGGCATCTCGGGACGATCTTGAGGGCCTGTGTGGCCGTCTTGGATGCTGCGAAAACGAAAAGCACGGGAACTCCCGAAATGTACATTGTGGAGGCCTCTGGGGCCGACTGGCGGCTATCGTGGGCGTCTTCGAGCGCTCGGGGCCCGTTTCGGAGGCCCTCTTGGACCGTCTTCGGCCATCTTCAAGCGTGACGGGGCCCCGGGGCCGATCCGATGGCAGCCGATGAGAGCGGTCAACGGCCCGAGGCCGCGCTGGTGGCCGCCGGAAGGGGCCGGTCCAAGGCCACTGCTCGACTCATTTGGCGAGCGGTGAACGCTGCATGATAATAGAGACTAGGGCTGACCCGTGGACTACGTCCCCGAATTCTGCACGAACTGGCATGTGTTGCTGAACATGCTGCTGAAATGCTGGCACGATCATGTGGCGCGAATTTCGCTGTCTGCACATGCTGCTGTGTGCTGCTGCTGGCTGCTGGTGCTGCAGGGTGCTGCTAATGGCAATTCTGCTTTTGTGCGTGCTGGTGCCCGCTGCGGCTGCTGCTGCTGCTGCTGCTGCTGCTGCTGCTGCTGCTGCTTGCTGTTGCTGTGCGCTCCCGCTGCTGATGTCCGCTTCGCGCTGCTGCCGTTCGCTGCTGCTGATTG